ACCTTGGAACCATTAGATGAAAACCATACATCTTTCATTATACGATTGCATTTTGATTTAAACCCACCTCCCATTCCTAAGCGTTATTAATCTCTCTACCATTCTAGTTTAATCTAGCAGCGGTTCCATTTTCTACATTTTGGTATCCTAGGCTATTAATTCTCACGGTCAGAGTGTTACTTAATGGACCACCCCATGGTGCAGCAAACTGAGGCTACTTGCAGCCCCGCTAAATTATACGAATGGATTCATATTGGATCTCTACTCCGACCTTTGAACCCTTAGTGGAAACCACTTAAAGCATTTATGAATAATCGTATCTGCACTCCCCTATAGACCATCTCTCAGACCTTGACGTTGTTTCTTCCGTTCTACTAGACCCATCCATTTGTGAATATGGGGGCTTTTCTTTGTCGCTCAAAAGCATACTTGCGATGCATTTCCTTATCTTTCAAGTTGTATACCTAGTAAGATTTTTTGATTTGATGAATAATAAATTAATCATCCTAGTTCACTTAAGATGATTTAAATACTTCTAGTTTAGTTTCTCAACATTGGGCTTAATAGATATCACAATGCTATTGAATTTCGCCTATTCACAACTTACAATCGACTATCTCATCCATAATGAACTCCAGTTTTGACCTCGCCTTGTAGAATCTGATATTGAGTGGTATAGTTGCGCTGTTACCACTCTAATACGCAACAACTTTTGACATAGGTTCAAAGGGGAACTTATGTCAATCAAGGCAAGTCAGAATCCACCAAAATCCCAATAATGGTTAAAGTCTCAGTTAAGCACATTTTAATCGACGGCATTACCTAGCTTTTGTATGAGTCGTTTTCGTGACTATCACTCTAATTTGCTTAAGGTGACTACATTCTTATTAAAGACTTATTAATAGTCTCGAAATTTACTTATACCTACACTTCGATTATGACTAGGCTTTATAGGAAGTTTGACTTATCTTGAATGATAAATTTGCCCTTTAAAACCCCGGAGAAAGTGGTTGAGTAGTAAAATGGTAGCAACGACACGAGACTCATGGTCTGATATTAAATTATGCTGAAGCTGCTGTTGAGACCTGCGAGCTTAAAACTGTAGTTAATTATGAGTGAGATAGCCTTTTGGGAGGCCAGGAAAGACAAAATTCATTGGTATCTAAGGTCTACTAAGCTTATTGCGTAAAAGCCAGACTACCAATCCTTAAATCACCTTAAACGACATAAGGTTAATAAATTCTTATGAAAGAGTTAGTGATTGACTCAAAAACCACACACAGAATATTTGTTTTTTTAGGCCTCTTTGTTTAATGTAATTCGTAGACCTTGTTGAGTTGATTCGAGTTTGTGTAATTGTTTGGAAATATTCCTGATTAACACTAAATATTTCGCCCATATCATCCGAACAAAACAGCAATTTGATTTCTTATCTATCATAACTTATTTTATAGGATTTATGATTCCCTTAATATTTGTACATCCTCTTTCGCCGTCTTGGTAACCACCTATTCTGTTTCCTAATATCACTCATTTCTCGAATTACGTTTTAGAACCGTTTATCGCTATGTTCTGATGTCATGAGAATGAGTATGTGTACATGAGCCATTTCTTTATCTTTAGACTAAGTCCTTGACCCATTACCTGGGAAGGAATAACTTGCTTCCACCTTATTAACGGGGTTTCTCGATTCGTCTTATTTCTTTAACATCATAAAACATATGAGTTAGAGAAATTATCTGCTTGCCTCAGATAACTAACTGTTCGAACATCTATCAAAAGTATGCAAACTCTTATTTCATAATATAGTCCAGATTTAATTTTGATTACTCTGTGCCATTTTATCAAGTTGGCGGATTCACTTATTCATCTAGTAAAAATTTGGTTAAGTAAATACATTTGGATAACTTGGCTGGGTGTTTTCAACTTTATCTTAATCATGCTTGATTTATTTACCCTCTCAGATGATACACATTGTATTGGGGAGAGGCTATTTGCTACCACTTATGCTGACTTAAAATCTATATTTATTCATCAAGTAAATATATATTATGTTCATCAATGTTTGTAGCACGATGACAAACTTCGAAGCCATCTCGCTGAAGCCATTGCACGTTGTTGCAGCTGGGGCACAAACCGGATAGAGTTCGGCCGGCTAAATGCAGTTGCCTCGCTGGCCACTTATTTGCATTCATCTGATCCTCTGGTACACCGTTCGACTGCACGAGCTCTCTTTCAACTGAGCAAGCATCCCGTTAACTGTGCCACAATTCACGAGGCTGGCGCTGTCCGCTTGCTAATGAAAATGGTGGGATCTCAGGTTAGTATAGAAAAATCCGCTAACAATCTTACAATTGGTTTTGGTAAGCATATCAGTCTTCGCAGATATAAGTGTACGATATCTTTTTAACAACTCATGAGGGTTGGTCAAACCACAGAGAACGTTCCTAAGCAATGTTACTTTTATGTCAAACCCGCCTCATGGTGGACCTCCAATTTCTTCAAATAAGCATATGCATTACTATGTTCCCTAGCAGATGGAGAGTATAGTTGAGGGTTAAGCACAGACAAGTATGATTAAATAAAAATGCCATTCTACTT